TTAGGCAGATTTACTGTAAAAAACTTATTATTGAAATAATGTTTTTCGCTTTTCACAAGATGGCACCAAAAACGAAGGAAGCTCCTGCCCCTCCTGAAGCCGAAGCCAAAGCAAAGGCTTTAAAGGCCAAGAAAGCAGTGTTGAAATGTATCCACAGCCCCCCTCAAAAAGAAGATCTGTACCTCACCCACCTTCCAGCATCCCCAGACACTGCGACTCTGGAAGCAGCCTAGATATCCTGGGAAGAGCGTCCCCCAGAGAAACAAGCTTGACCACCATGCTATCATCAAGTTTCCATTGACCACTGAGTCAGCCATGAAGAACATAGAAGACAACAATATGCTTGTGTTCACTGTCGATGTTAAAGCCAACAAGCCCCGGATCAAACAGACTGTGAAGAAGCTCTGGGACGTGGATGTGGCCACGGTCAACATCCTGATTCGGCCTGACAGAGAGAAGTAGGAATATGTTCGACTGGCTCCTGATTAGGATGCTTTGGATGTTGCCAACAAACTTGGGATCATCTAAGCTGAGTCCAGTTGGCTGATTCTAAATAGATGTATATCTTTTCACCATAAAAAAAAGGAAATAATGTTTTTCATAAGAATGACAACTTAAAATCTTTACGCTTATAGATTTGATTCTAATTATCTAGTAAGTATAATATTAGCTTCTTGTAAGCACTCAAGCAGAATAGAAACTTGTTTGTTGGCCGGGCATGTGGACTCACACCTGTAATCCCAGCACTTTGGGAGGCTGAGGAGGGTGGATCATGAGGTCAGGAGATCAAGACCATACTGGCTAACACTGTGGAACCCTGTCTCTACTAAAAATACAAAAAAAATTAGCTGGGCACGGTGGCAGGTGCCTGTAGTCCTGGTTACTTGGGGGGCTGAGTCAGGAGAATGGCCTGAACCCAGGAGGTGGAACTTGCAGTGAGCCGAGATCGCACCACTGTACCCCAGCCTGGGTGACAGAGAGAGACTACATCTCAAAAAAAAAA